CGGGGCGAGCGGGGAGAGGGGAGGTTGCTGTGTCGTGACTGGCGTGAGGAGGCTTCCCTTGCGTTATTCGTATGCCTCCTGGTATTTGATGGGAAGCGGATATATATGTCACTTGGCTAAATATTTCTGTTAAATGTTTTGATTATGTAGAAGGTAGGTGCTGTATTTTGTCATAGAAATCCTAGTAAAAGACCAGCACGTTTTGCCTTAATAAAAAAAATAAATGTAACCACTGCTTTCCTCATAATGAGGATAACGTAGCCATGAAAGTCACACTTTCAGTGCATTTTTAAAACTAAAAGAATTTTAAAATAGTCCTGAAAATTATTTAGTGTTGTGTAGTGTGATTGATGTATTCTTCATAATAGTTCTTTCCTGGCATATTTTGCTGTTGAAAATACCTATATTGTTTTAAAAAATACATCTTTTTGTGTTAATAAGTGTTTTTGAAAAATGTAATATTCTGTTTCTTTTCTTCCGACTTGCAGGTTAATAATTGTGGTCTTCAGCTGGTTATCCAGACCTCATCAATAGCAGAGAAAAGCAAACCAGTAATTATTACTTTTCCTGTAACAGTTACATTAATCAATGCAGTTGTATGGTGCAGCCAGATTTGTAGGCTTTCAGCTAAGAATTGCCTTTTCAGTAGTAATATGTTGATTTTTAATATAATATCTGATGCTCTTTTGGTAATTTATTTCGTTTTATTAAAGATACAGAAAGTAAAACCATGGGGAGGTGCTATAGCCTGTTGTAAACTTTATATACAATTTCTTACGCTTCCATCTATACTTCTTTCTCCTGTAATTATAGTACTCCTTAATGGGTGGTGGTTTGGTTTCTTTTTCCCTTTATTTAGTCTACTGCAGATGAATGACATGGTAACTCCAGTGTTTTCATTTTGGTTTCCAACAGTGAAACTTCTCAGTCATAGTATTTCAATACAATGGTTACTCTTTTTATTGGGACAGTTATTTAATTTTTTTAAAGTGTTTGCAGGTTTCAAAAAGAAAAAAAGTAGTTCTTACTAAGGTGGTGTTTGTGTAAAGATGTCATTTGCATTTGAATAACTTAACATTTGTCTTGTTACAGTTTGAATTCAGGATAAATAAAGAACAGTCATCTTTCCACAGTAGACTTCTGCAGCATGATCTGGAAAAAAACTATTCGGGAAGGCAAGGTGGTATTCAATAGAGTTTGGTTTGTTTGTCTTTTGCATCTCTTTTGGTTAACTGAACAGTAAAGAAAGACTGAATTATGATTAGAATATGTAAGAGTGACACCTTTTCCTCATTGGCTACGGTAATTCAGTAGAATTACTGCTGCATCATGTCCTGAACCTGCTATCCTTCTAATGCCTAATGCAGATGGCTTTTCTCATGACTTTTTGTTCCTCATTCTGTCCATGGAAGGACATCCTTTCTTCTACCTATAAAGCCACACTGTAACAAGTGCCCTACTTTACATTCCCTCAGAAGCTTCACAGTTCTCTACTGTAACATTTTATTGGGTGTTTAACAAAATTAGTTTATAATTCAGAACCCTGATATGAAGAGAGGGTTTTCCTGTTGTGCTTGTGTGCATTTGACTTTGAAAAGCAAGATACTTGGTGATACCACTGCTAACTGTGGTGAAGCTTGGAAGAGCCTTGGCACACAACGCTTCTTGCCACACTGCTGCTTGCCTGTCATATGTAAACAGTGATTGGCTGTGGTAGCAGACCAGTTTAATTACTATGATAATTCTTTATTCATTCTGGTAAAAAATAAAGACCAACAGCTGTTCAGGATGGGTTGATTTCTAGGGCTGTTATGCAACAAGTAAATGTAAGTCTGCGGTTTAATTTTGTTCCCTGCACAGGAGACCAAAGAGTATTAAGTCCTTTGGTGCGTAATAAGCAGCTGTATCTTCCAGTACCATCCAGTCTGACAGAACTTTCTGGTTTGGAGCTGAAGCAGAATACAGGTTCTTTATCGGGATTTGGCGAGACTTCTATTCACACACCTACAAAATCCAGATCTCGACAAAGCAGCCACAGTATTAGTTCACATGCTTCAGGTAACAGTGAAAACTTCTCTCATCTTAGTCTTTCTTTTTTTTGTTCTTTTAATACTGGGTGTCTTATTAAGAGTTATTGCCTACAAGATGCGCTTTTTCCGGCTGTCAGAATGTACAGCTGAATAGCAAGGGTTGCCTCCTGTTACCTCTGGGTATTA